TACGCTACATTCATATAAAAGATAAAAAAGCCTAACATTCTGATATAGCTGATGTTTCTATGCAGGACTGCCTTGTTTCCATAGAACAGCAAAAAGACAGCTACTGTTTAACTGAAGAAACTGATGGAAAATCTTCATTACTATATAAACAGTGGTTTAGGCATAGCAAGTGTTTAGTTTATGCATCTGTGCATTTAGCTGAACACTAAGCTTTGTCTAAACACAATTTAGTGCCTTCCTACTCCCATATATTTTCACTTTCTTTCTGAAAGCAGGAAATCTGTGTCTTCTCAGGCCTCAATAATGTAAAACAAAAAAAAATTAATGATTTTTGTATTGAATGTTTTGCCTAATCTGACAGAGAATTGCAGTACATTGTTCATAGAGTTGGACTTTTCCTTTCAAGTCTGTCTTTTCTTTTGTGAATTTTTTACCTTATTTCCAATGCAGACTTTGGTCTACCGTCATCATAAAAGACCTCATTTGTTACATCATGTAATCTCTGTATTTTGAGATTGTAACTGCTTGCTTATTTGCTGTTCTGTCATTCAGCTGGTTATTTAGAACTGAAGCTGAAGAAAAAGAATTATGTAGTCATGCAATTAAAATTGAATGTTCTTATTTCACTTCCCTTAGCTTTTCAGTCATGTCGATAAAAATGTATACATAATCCAATTTTAAAACGATGGCTTCCATTTCTGGTTCCACACATTTTACCTCTTACAAGCTGGTCTAGTCCCTAATAAAAAACTTACTATCAATCCCTCTCTGTCTTCATTCACTTTCATGATGTAAGTTCAAGACCTTAAAGCATAAAATATCTTCTACATACAACAATAACAATCTAAGTACCTTACATTTTTGTTTGCAAATAACTGTCATGCAAATTAACACGCAGTTCTGTAGACAAAATGAGAAGATGATGATAAGATGAAGCTGAGAAATAGCATCAATGAATCACTGGTCATCCCTTGCTGGATTGCACCAGTGGTGATCACATAAGAACTTTAAATCAACAATCCTCCTTCAATGTTTTAATGAGCATCAACTCACCACATACTGGCATGCGAAAGAAGCAGGATTATTTGTGTGGATAGGTGCTCCATTTGTAAAATAGGACCAGTCCCCAAAAGCCACTGAATAGGTCCACACTTGCTTTTGTGCATCTTAGCACATCAAAAATGTATTTTAATTAGTTAAGAGCTAATTCTGATTTGTTTTTATTTGCTTTGTTTTTCACTTGTACTGAGAAAGAATAGGAGCCTATTTCTGACAGGTTGCTACTACTTAGAATTATTCATCCTTACTTCTCAGAGAAGGGGTACTGTCAGGACACCAATGCATGACCCTACTGAGCCTTTCACCTTCAAGGGAAATAAATAAATAAATACATACATACATTTTTTATAATAATACTTGGAAACAACTAACGAAAAAAGCCTAACTTACTAGGTAGGTTAGCTTGCTAGCTAAAAGGATGCTTGTTTTGTTCACAAAATGTAGACAGATCCCCAAAGTTTCTCCCTTGAATGAAGACATCTACACACAAATAGAACATGAACTTCCAAATACTTTAGCATTTGTGCAGCAGTGTTGCCTCAAGGTACCTTCACATTATGCCGGACACTACATATGAACTAATGAAAGTCCATGCTTCCAAGAACTGACAGTGCATTTATCAAACGTGCTGCACCCCTCTCTATTGCATTATCAAACAAGAGTAAGCTTTGATCACTGCACGTCAGCTATCATCATGGGTATTGCACTGGAGCAGGCTATAAAGAAAGACTGGGGGAGGACACTGTAGTTGCTATGTCCTTCCATTGAATCCCCCAACGCATTTACCTGAAAATAACAGGAATTCTTATCTTGAATAAGACTTCGATTGCGTATTCAAGTAAGATGTGATAGGAACAGACAAAGTCTCTGAATACCGATATACACAGATTAAATACTGTTTTCCATATTAAGAGTATCCCAGCTATTTTACACTTTAAATAACAGATCCGGTGGAGTCAGATTCTGTCTGATCTCAACAAGTGTGCAGATAAAAGTGCGCAGAAAAGGCAGGTAGGGCAGTGTTCAGGCTACTTCTTACAGAGGTACAACTGCAGAAGCAATGGCGAAGCAGCCTTTTTCTCTTGAGTCAAAATGCCTTCTTAAGTGGTGCAATTGTGAAATTCCTTACGGTACACTTATGCCAAAAAAGTATAATTAAATTCAAAGGTTGCGGGAAATGAAAGAATCATAGGAAAAGGTTGATACGCAGTGTTCTCAGGCTAAGGAAAGGAAACATGGAGGGATCTGAAACAAGTTAAGGAGGAAAGGGCAAAAGCAACATGAAAAAAACCAGATAGTTCTCAACAAATCTAAGTAGACTTCCTAAGAGCAATGTCAAGAGATACTCAGGTCCACAACACTGCACAGTAATTCAGATTCTTTAACATCTGAAACCTCAGTCTTTGTGGGTATAAATCAGCATATCACAGATGGTTATATGAAATGTGAGTAAGATCTATTCCTTTTATAACTGAAAGATTTAAACAGATGAAGAGATCATTATACATACAAATCTGACCTAAAAACCCCAAAATATATTTAGGGGGCAAGGATACAAGCCACAAGTTCCCTGAAAAAGTTTTCAGAGCAGAAGCAACTTCTCAAATTATAGAAGCATCATTGCAAATGCAAGATACCAATGTGTCAGTTAAAGTAACTATGAAAATTAGACATTTCTTTTTAGGCAACCCATGCATCAAGTTTCCTAGGAGTAAAATCACTTATCAATATTTAAACTTTCATCTCCCTAAGCATATGTAGAAAATAGTTCTTTTGAAACTCCCTGTGCACACAATAGATGTTTAGAGGAACCAAACTCATTTTAAAAACTATGTAAAAGAACATACAGAGTGTACAAAAATCATCTGCTCAAATTCACCTCTGAAAACCTGTTTACAAATAACAATCTCATGGAGCGTGCATACAGGATGTACACAGTAAGCTGTTTCACAACTCTCAGCCATGTGTGTGTGAAAAGAAAGAAGTGATGGAAAGTGCTCAGAAAAGTACATGGCCTTCCGTACCCATTTTTCTAGAGAAGAATGGCCCTCCTCGACCCACAAGTCTGCCAATGTTCTGGATTAGTCATTTCTCAGCAGCCTGTGCTGTTATTGATCTTTAAATTTATCTATCCCAATTTTAAGTGGTGATTACACTCAGCCTCTCCACTCAGATCCAGAACCTGTGAATCATTATGAATAAAATGTCCTAGGATATCTAGACCACTCTTTTCTCAAAGTATTTAATATTTCTACAAAAGTAGTTTAAGAACTAATAAGCCAATATTGTTGAGATACCAAAAATGATGTTCAGCGCCTCATTTACTCTTAAATCAATGTTAAGAAAAAATGTAGGAGATGGCAATGCTATATCCGGTACAAATCATCACTTGGACAAAGCATAGCTGACTCTAGACAGGACCAAAGTACTTGTCTGAAATGCTTCCTTCTTTCCAAATGCCTTCCGCCTCGCCCCCACTCCTCCTGATGTTAAAACGTGAAGGCAGATGCCCTTGTCACTGACTAGCCTCTGTGTATTCGCTCGTCTTGATTCTCAGTGTGTTTTACTCTCCCTCCAGATGATGAAGATTATATCTCTTCTCAGCCGAAACAAAGCAGGCATCAATGAGCAGAATTTGCTAACTGATGTAATTCATATGCCAGGGATTAAGTCGTGCACCCTGGAAAAAGTTTAAGCCGATACATAAACACACAAGTAGTCTGCTTAGCGTGAAGATTCACAGGACACATCACCTTCCTTTTCTGCTCTGTGCACCAGCTCCCCCCTTCAAGGTCTCTGTCTAGCTATTTAAAACCCTCCATAGGAATAGCTTTAGCAGCCTGGAAGCTTTGTCCCTCCAAGATACCACTCTCTTAAGACAATTGTGTTCCCCTGAAATAATTATAAAATTTAAGAATGTGAAATGCTGACAAAAGCCGAGCCAGAATCTTCTTTTCTTTCAATCCTAAGACTGAATCTCCATTTCTATGAGAAAAGAGTGTCTCCAGAATGCTTAACTTACAGAAGCAGATACAAAGTACCCTTACCTCTGACTTAATAAATTATGTGCATACATCCTAAACAAACAAAAGCTTCTTTATCACAAATTCTGTGAAGAATACACAGGAAGAAATTAATTTTCTTATGTCATATGAATACCCTGATCTCATGAAGTGACATGACATCTTCTGTTTTTTGCAAGGTAGCTTAAAAATTGTAATAAATATTATTGCTTGCTTTTTCAGTTCAGCACACGCTAAAAGCAGTAGACCAGCCTTGAAAAACTAGCTATAACATTTGCTCTGAACAACCATTGAAATATTTTGATGCTTACCTGGAGACTGCCCAATGTTTCAAAGCTTAGATTCAGGTGACAGGATTAGTTCTCAGAAAAGAAGTATCCTTCTGTTCAGATTTATACTCTGTGCACGACACTTCTTTTCAGGTCAACTTTTGTTTGGAAGACAAAGCAAAGACAAAACCCCCAAGTACTAAACTATTACAAAACTAACTATCAAAGACAGAAATTTCGAAGTTTGGAGTTCTAGGATTATATGAATTGGTTTGGCGAGCCCATTTTAGTATTGATTCATCCTACTATTTTTGATCTGGAAAAATCTTTTTCTTCACTGCATTATTTACAATGCCAGACATACTAAATGAATCAACAGCTAAAATGAGCCCTTATACGCTCAGTAAAATTTAAAATTTCCTTTACAGTTCATAGATAGTTAAATTCTGTGAAATTCATATAATGTAGAACTATGTGTTCAGTAGCCCTCAAATTTTCCTGCTTCCTTTAACAAGGTGCTTTAGTAGTTACATAATTAAATCATCTGAGGACATATTTTAGGACTTTTATGAGATTTTTTTTTTCCTGAAAGATATATCTGGGATCATATAATCGCCTCTTTTTTTTTTTCCTTCTCTGTCTTTTATAGGCCACTTGAAAGTGTCTGAATCAGGATTTAAAAACTCCACACATCTGTACAGAAGAAGATCACAAAAATATAGATGCGGCATAGGGACATAACTGAACAACCAACATCCTTTATTATTAATGATGGGCTAAAAGTCTCTATGTATGGAAAGAGAAAATAAATGAAGAAGACAACAAGTCCAGCAGGCATGACCAGGCTTTACGTCTGCTACTTCATATTTCTTAAATTTCCACCAGCTAGATTTGGAATTAAGCACCTTCAGCAAATTCAACTTTTATAGCCCCTCCTGTTCTCTCTACCCACCGTTACATATTCATGTCAAATAAATTTACATTAAGGCTTTGATATATCAGGACTTAAGCAGTTGTGAACTTTCAGCAAATGTGATGTTTCAGGACTTGAAGCTATCAAAATCACATCACTTCACACAGAATTATCTCTTTTTTACTAAGCACCTTTTCATAGTGTGTACGGATTAATTTCAGGGTTATTTGGTAAATGTAATTTAGAAACGGATCCCAGTATTATAATTATTCAATAAACAGACTGTATACTCTGTAGGGATTAAACTGTCATACGTATGACAGACAGAGACATATCTTTCTTTTCTTCATTTTTGTTCTATTATTGAAAAAAACATCATTTATGTGGCATTAAACACCATCTGGGAAATATATACTGTTGACTGGAGCCCCACGTTAATTCCAGCAGCTTTCCAAATGAGGTCTGACATTGCATTCCCCAGCAATTGCCACCATCCTTTAGGTTTGGCTTTATATCATCTTACCCTGGGTCTATTTTTACATCTCCCCCTCACTAGTGCAATCAACTGTAAGTCTAGGGAATAAAAAAGAAGTGAGGAAAGGAAGAAGGGTGGAAGGGAGGAGAAGGCGAGGGAGAAGCTGAAGGAGAGGGCAGGAAGGAAGGCGGCACTCTCTTTAACGCAGAAAACAGGAAAGGGAAAGCCGGTCTTTCCTACAGGGAGACCTTAGGGGTTTTCAGTATGTTACCATTTGGCCCATGGGATCAATAAACACGGCAAAAAGTCTGGTGCGATGCTTCAGAGTCAGAGCACTGGAGCACCGCAAGCAGTTACATCATCTGGGCATCTTCGACCTACTGCCACGGACCTGTTTTGTGGTAGCAGTCATTTTTTAGGATTTAAGGGCAGGTGCCGTCAGGATCAGTGTCGGATGCTGCAGGAAGGGAGGGCCGGGGGCTGTCACCCCGCCGCCAGCTTGCGTGACGTGCCTGGGGCAGGCGCCTGGCTCAGCAAAGCCCACTCTCCCAGCTGTCCCGTCCCCTGCAGCTGGCCAAGAAAGCAACTCTACCAAGAAATACAGACACATTTCAGCACGGTGCTGGGAGTGCGCAAACTCCCAGGCCATGGCAGGCAAGGGACAGAGGCAGCAATGTCCCCTTAGTCGCTACTTGTGAAAACATGTAAATTAACAAAACAAAAGGCAACATTAACCTCTAAAACTCAGCTTTAAAGTATGAGAAGGCAATCTGAATACAGAGGAAAGAATGGAGTGGGATACAACTTAAGCCTGTGTTTATGCTTGTAGTAATTACAAGAATATTTCCTACCTTATCGTGAGCTCAAAATGTGAAGTATTAAATTTGCTGGCAATAAAAAACTACAGTGAAATGTCAGCACAGGTCAGAAAATAAGGCACTTAAAAGGATTTGGATGAGGACAAATCAAATATTTTATTCATAGGATTTAAGACAAAAAATTTACTTTCTCAGGACACAAATCCAAGGCAGAACATTTACTACAACTTTAATAACACTGTTCTCTAACATACAAAAAAATACTTTGGAATTACTGTGCTAAAACTCTTAACAAGCATCAAATGATTTAGAAGCAAGCATAAAAAATGGAACGGATAAAGAAATATGAAAAGTATTTCAATATTACTTATAAACTATGTTATAAAGCTGTCTCAATTAAAATTTCTCATTAGCTTTTGTTGGGCCAGGGGTTCACAGATTCAGACTCATTATCTGCAATAATACAGATTCATTAGATTTTCCTAAAAAAGTCATCTTTCCTCTGTTATTGGTTGTTCCTGTCATGAGCTCAGCTTCCATTAGCCCTTCCTTGTACTTGTCAAACTCACAGACGTTTGTACAAGTCAAAAGTCATTTTTTATTAGGAAGAAAGGCTAATGCTACTTTACTGAAAATAACTGCAAAATTTTAACCGGAACATTTTCCTTCACTTTTTATGAAGAATTAAACTATAGTAGTTAACATAAAAATGACTCACAGAACCTAGCAAGTTTTTTGGGCTTTTTTTTCTTTCCCCTCAGAAAAACTACATTAGCCTGTCAGAAGCTCAACTTCCAGAAACGTTTTCAGCAGCGGAAGTAGCTCAGCAGAGAACAACCAGAATGAATTCAGGACTTACTAGCTGTTCAAGACCAATTTTCCACATTAAAGACGAGGTAAAAGAGAAGAGTTAAGGCACCAAATTGTTGAGAAACAGAGACTGCAATGAAATAAATCCCAGCTCAAGAATAAAGAAAAAGCAGATGCAAACTTACATGTGAAAACCCTTCATGCTAAAGGAAGTTCATGCACTTTGTGGAATGAAACACCAAGAGCAGCGAGCAGAGGAATATCTGGTTTGACAGGTGAGTCGCAGGAGTGCGGAGGTCAGAAATATGGCGTGAGGAGAACAACAGCTGACCCAATGGCCACAACAGACCTCGAAGGGCTTCCTGGACTCTTTCTGCTTTCAAATTTCCTATGTCCCTATGAAACTGGCTGTCTTCAAGTAGTTTCCCAGGGCCTGCAATTCATTTCTTGTACTTTCTAGCAGGTGTGAGAACACTGAGGCTCCTTCAGTTGCAGCTCATTTCCACTTACTAACTACTTTATCTCCGTGGATGAAGCAAAAGTGACTTTTGTGTTTCCTGGCAGTCTGCTGCTTCAAAGAACCTAATAGTGATTTGTTTATTTCAGAGGAAATGGAGACCAGTCAGTGATGACAGATTTATTGGTTAAATGGACATCACAAAAAAATTTTCAGGCAGTACAGGCTGGCTCTAACCGCACTACGAGAACTTGCACTAAGGGGTGATGTGCATTCCAGAAATCCAAGCCTATTTAATCCAGCCCACTATAATCTGTACATTTATGTAGCACCCTTCACACAATTTCCTAATGCGCTGTACAGAAATGTAATAACCACTGTACTGAAAAATATCCAGGTATATTAATGGCTTACATTTAGACTTGAAATTGCTGCAAAAGAAGCCAGACTGTCGAATATCTCCTGGCAACGAGTCAGTCAGTGTCAGACAAGAAAAAAATGGCTGTCTGATCTCCTCCAATTAAATCTCAGGGTAGAACAGAAGTTCTTCACTCTGGGAGAGAGAATTCACAATGTGGCATAAGCGTCAATAGCTCCCAGAGCTAAGGCAGGAGACAGTGGAGAATTTTACATCGAAGCAATAAAACATAAAAATTAATATGAAACTTCAGTGGGAGCCAATGTAAATTGTATAATATGGCTAAACAAACTCAGTCTTACAAGTAGGAAAGGCACCGAGTTTTCAGCAGTTGGTAGGTTTGAAAGTTATGGAGACTTATTCAGAGAACTGCATGGTCTGAATAGGAAAAATAAATAAATATGGCATTCTAGAGCAAGGTGCTAGCAGCTTTACATTACTATATTCTTCAAATGCTCACTGGACATAATATTTGCATTTGTCAAAGAGGGTAGAGTTATGGAGAGCATACAGAAACCTATGTTGAAAATCCCAGATAACCTGACAAATGGCCATTTTCTGTAAGAGTGAGGAACATTAATCCAGGCAAGCAATGAGATCCAATCAGTCACCAGGGCAATCCACTTGATCTGGATTCAATTTCAGAAAAATATCTGGCTGAGGTCGTGCATCAGGCAAACAAACACACCATTTAGAAAGAAGCTGGAATATTTGTTGAGGCAGAGAAATGTATCTGTACCTCACCTCCATACATATGGCTGGCTAAAGCACATCTGCCAATAATTGGCTCAAAAATCATCAAAATGATAAAAATGCCTCTATTTTGGATGGTAAAATAAAGACTGTTATTTATTCTTTGGAACCACATACCTCAAAAATACCAACATCAGTAACTCATACGGCAATTAGTAACAGGAATTATCATTGTATTTTGTTTCCACCTACTCCCCAGTCTAGCTTGACATTCTAAGTGGTTGAGCTTGCTTTATGCATAAACCAGCATTGCCCATTTTACAGGCTGAAGAACTGAAGTATGGAATAAGTACAGCACAACGTAAAAATTATTGAAATGACTCTGAAGGAAATGAAACAAGCAGGTCTACTTAGGATCTCCTGTAAGAAGTATAGCCAGGGTGATTTGCCCAAAATAATGTACTTGCTTCCTAGCAGAGGCAATTTGCCTGACAAAAGCACCACGTTGACCCACATGTGCTAAGCTCTAGCTCTGGATATAGCGTCGGTGCTTCTGCACAATATTGCATTAGACAGATTCATTCGCGAAGTCTATGGCAGAGCTGGGACCTCAGCCTCTCTCTCCTTGATCTCTTTCCAGTGCCTTACGTCAAAGCCACCCATCTTCTTTGCTCTACGTTTGGGGTGGAGGATAGTATGGTGGTTTATTTATTAAAAATTAGTCTTCTAAACCTATTTACTAATCCCATCATTTTAGTAATTATATCTAAATCTAAAAAATTGTGATCCAAGACTGAAGTCCAGAGCAGCTTTTGCAACAGGTTCAATGTCTTTTTATCTGTTTATGTAGCATGTAGCACAATAAAAGTTTGAATTGTATTTTCCCACACTGTGTGTGTGTGTGTCTGTGTGTTTTTGTGTGTTTGCACACCAAAACTATTTAAAATTAAGACCTGAGTGTTAGTATCTTTTTTTAACTATAAGAAAGCACAATAGATGCTTTGTTTAATCTTGATTTAACCCAGTCTTGTCTGCCAATATCAAATTGTATTTTATGATCCTTAAAACCTAAGCACACTGACTTCTCTGTGATAGCTTGCAAGTATCAATACATCACATATCTGTACACTAGTTTCACTCAAGAATCTTTTTAGCACTGAGAGCTTCCTTTCCAGATGAAAGTGTACAGTCATGATTTCTTTAAAATATGTTAGATTTTACATGATTTCCAACCTAAAGCAAACAAGAGCGTATGACTGTACTGTATTTTTCAGAAAGTCCACACTCTGCTTGAACGAATTCCTTGAAAACATATTCTCAAAGCACTGATATAGAGCAGTGGGTCCCCAGTATGAAGACAACTTGAGGGATACATATTTTTAAAACTCTGGACAAGCTGAAGAGGTTGCAATCCTGCAGTATTAACACTGGATCTCTCAAATATAAGCAAATGCTTGAAGGATATAGATGAGGGACAGCTTTGGAATAAAATGTTTACAGTTAAGAATTCTACAGCCAGGAAAAGATAGGCTACAGTCTAAAAAGCTGCCTTGACAAAAAAGGATCGGTTTTCAAGAAAGCTGTACACCCAACTGTTACCATTTAGGCACCTAAATGAAGAACAATGGGGGTTGCTGGGTTCCGAGCTCTTTCAAGCATCTGGTCCAAATTCTTTCCTTCCATATGAATCAAAACAAATGTTTAGGCTACCAACTTTCCACTGCCCTTTCAGTTTAATGCCAGCTTTTCAAGCTTTTAAATTCCTTAGTATAATAAGATAAATAAAACACTAACTTAGCAAATGCCCAGTTAGGGACTATTTGCAATATTTTCTTTTTTATTAGTAGCAGACAAAAAAGTTTTTATGAAGTCATTGTAAAAATATATCTTTCAAAATAATATCTTTCAGAATGAGATTTTTTTAATACTTCTTAAAAAATATGAATCCATCTTATTTGGCAATCAAAAACTAGTCACAGATTTGCTCACAGACTTGAAGATAAAACAGATGGAAAATCAGCATAAAGAGAAACAGAGTAGCAGAAACATTCAGAAAGCTATCGGTTAAATCAAATAAGGAAGCAGAAAGCAGATTACATGGTTGCTGGCAGCAGAACATGGGTCGATTTGGGCTGCGCTGTGATGTTATAGGAGCTGCAACACTCTGCAGCAGTAACGATGATCTGTTCTGAGCCTAGGGAGACCCATGCCTGGACCCTCGTGAGTCCTAAGATGGTTGAAAGCTGTGCTAAATAGTCAAACAATTTGTATTTAAACATTAGAACATTAGAGGGCAAATATTGAGACAGACAAATGTAGCCTAAGTGCTAGTGCCATACATCTGTGACTGAATCAACTGGCACTGAAATATAGAGCATCCCTTGATACTAAGCCTGAGAGAGTAAAGGCTCCTTTCCAGTCTTCTCCCCACTAATGGGGAAAAACTGTTCTGCAGAGATGTGGAAATTCAAAAATGTTAAGAATTTCAACAGCAAAATGAAGCGGACTCATCACTGAAATCTTCAGCACTTTCTAACAGATTCATGAATAATTGGACTTAACTGGAAAAATGTAAAGAAAATTGAGTATCTCATTTTAGTTTTACAACACAGAGCAGCAAAGGAAACAGTGGCTAGTGAAAATACAAAACCACGGGTGGAAATATGGCTTTTTTTCTGAATGGAATGAGAGAAAGCTGCTTCAAGAAGCACATAAAGAAAGGTGGCAGGAAACATCTTTAACAATTTACATGAGCTATTTAAAAAAAATTTGAGGAATGGAAAGAAGCAAACAATCCATCTGCAGCTTTGCCTATAGCAAATGAGCTCTCATCAATGTTTTTCTTTCCCAATTTATATTCAGAGTTAATGCTTCTGTTGCTTTCTGATTCTTACATAAACTATTTTCTGTAAGTGATAGTGCTCTAAACAGCTGTTATTCCAAAGTCCCCTCTGACTTTCATTTATGAAGTGTTCATTAAGAGAATAAGTATTTGAAGCTGAATGAATGACTTGAAGATGAGAACAAAGAGTCATCCCCAAACTAACTAATTCTATATAAGGAAACATATGAATTAGCTTCTAATACTGGAGGATGAAGAGAAAGGAGGAATTATTTAGGACAGTAATAGACCATGAAACAAAGCTCGCTAAAAGAAACTTCAGAGCATTTTAAGATGAGTATCAGGCCAAAATTCCTGCAAGTGAGATTTATTACACCATGCAGTCTGTTTCCTGAGATTATTAACGAAGGCAAGTTATTTTTTAAAGTCTAAATAAGCACTTAATAAATTAGTACCACGCTCATGAACCATACACATAACCTCTTTTGTCATACTGAATTGAAAGAAATCACCCCACACTCAAGTCTTTTACTGGCCACTACTTCACTCCATCTGTCACTCGTCTAATAAAAGAATATAATATGGATTGCTCTTTGAAGGATGTTTTACCTTTTTCCCTATAAATAGGATTCTTCTAGGTAAATTCATACTGTGACTTTTTTGCAAAGGCTTTTTTTTCCCCCTCCTCTTTTTACCTGTACTATGTTTTCTGTCGCTCCAGTCATTCCTAGGTCCACATAGGCAGACAGCAAGGTTCTTGTCATTAATTCTCTAAGACGGCTGTTCAGCCACCTACCACTGCCTCATCCAACCACCTTGTGTTAATTAGACTGGAAATAACGGCATCCCTAACAGACTCTGTGAAGCCTATAGTTCCTCTCCTTTTTGGATCGAGAGAAAGTTTCCCCTGGAGTAGAGTGGAATGGGAGAAGAGAGGGAAAGGAGGGTTGTTTTTCCTCTTTGTGAAGGTTGGAAGTGAGGTGAGGAGGGTAGTGATGAAAGTCAGCATGATTATGACACAAAAAGCTTTCAGC